TTTAGTTTTTGTAACTTTTTGTGTTGATTGTTTTAACAAAGAATAATTCGGGTTTTTCCAAAATACTGTCTATTAAGATGTTATATTAATGTCTGTCTGCAAAACTATAGACAGAAAATTCCTCCTTTCAGTACCGTAACCTTTGGACCCATTTTCTATTATGCATGAACCATTAGAGAGAACGGAGCTGGCTGGAGTTTACAGGGGAGACCTCGCTAAAAATATCCTCACTTATTGATTTATTATTTCCATGACTTTCATTTCACAATATTTACAAAAACACTTAAAAATATCAAGAAAAATAGACTAACATCGATATATTTCTCATGTACTTTTATATCAAAACAACTTAAAATACTGTAAGAGTAAATAATTAAATCATTTCTAAACTACTAAATTAACTCGTTGGCTTGTGTTGTATCAGTAAGGCCAAACTATGTCAAGGGTCGTTAAGAAACAACCTCATTATAACCTGTCTCTCATCGTCACAAAGGTTCCTACCATCATTAGTCCTCATCATACAAGAATATATTAACTGGTTGACTTAGGTTAAAACACAAAGTTAACATCTGAGAATGATATTAAAATTAACCCTAAGACTCTGCCTTAACTGATGCCTTCACCTAAAACCAGTAAGGAGACAAAATTAACACTGGGACTCTACCTTAACTAGATACCTTCACCTAAAACCAGTTAGGAGACAAAATTAACCCTAAGACTCTGCCTTAACTAGATACCTTCACCTAAAACCAGTAAGGAGACAAAATTAACACTGGGACTCTACCTTAACTAGATACCTTCACCTAAAACCAGTAAGGAGACAAAATTAACCCTAAGACTAACTGATGCCTTCACCTAAAACCAGTAAGGAGACAAAATTAACACTGGGACTCTACCTTAACTGATACCTTCACCTAAAACCAGTAAGGAGACAAAATTAACACTGGGACTCTACCTTAACTAGATACCTTCACCTAAAACCAGTAAGGAGACAAAATTAACACTGGGACTCTACCTTAACTAGAAGCGTTCAGTTAATAGGAAACAAAATTATCACGGAGACTCCAACCTTAACTTTTTCTGATGTTAAGTGAACGTATATAGTTAAGGTAGAGCCTCAGTATTAATGTCGAGGTTATATTCACATGTTAATTTCCCCCATAAAGTCAAATAGTTACACTGAATCTTTTATTTTAACTTACGAGGAATATAATTTATGGTAAGAGACTTGGTGACTCTCCCCTGTGGTATGATGTATGACAGGGTTCAGGAGCCAAGGGAGGGCAGTACATCACGAGGGTTACTTGGTGGTATAACGAGTGTGTGTGTGTGTGTGTGTGTGTGTGTGTGTGTGTGTGTGTGTGTGTGTGTGTGTGTGTGTGTGTGTGTGTGTGTGTGTGTGTGTGTGTGTGTGTGTGTGTGTGTGTGTGTGTGTGTGTGTGTGTGTGTGTGTGTGTGTGTGTGTGTGTGTGTGTGTGTGTGTGTGTGTGTGTGTGTGTGTGTGTGTGTGTGTGTGTGTGTGTGTGTGTGTGTGTGTGTGTGTGTGTGTGTGTGTGTGTGTGTGTGTGTGTGTGTGTGTGTGTGTGTGTGTGTGTGTGTGTGTGTGTGTGTGTGTGTGTGTGTGTGTGTGTGTGTGTGTGTGTGTGTGTGTGTGTGTAGTGTGTGTGAGTGTGTGTGTGTGTGTGTCAACAGTGAACCATTACAGACAGACGGAGATAGATAGACAGATGAGAGAAAGAGAGTGAAATAGAGAGATTCGATGATAAAAAATAGATAAAAATAAAAAAGAATAAATAAATGTCAATAAAGAGAGAGAAAAGGGGTATACAGAAGAGAGAAGGAGAGGAGAGAAAGACACAGACACGGAAGAAGAGAGATAGAGAGTATTTCTTTACCTGAGACGTTTTGAACCTTAGATAGTTCAGGTTAATTAAGATGTTTCGAACCATCGGTTAGGTTGTGAGTGAACCACCTCGTTTCCGACCCAAGTCACTCCAGCTTTGAACCTTTCGAACCCTGAAGCTTTTTTAACTCGACCTAATCCGAATCTTCCAAGCTTAGGTTACCTGTTGTTGTGACGTCATCCAGGTGAGGTGAGACAGTGAGAGGGAGAGACAATGAGAGGGAGAGACAGTATGAGGAAGAGACAATGAGAGAGAGAGACAGTGAGAGGGAGAGACAGCGAAATGGAGAGATATTTTTACCATATTGAAGTTATCTCATATCTTTCTCGTAAGGATTTGTGAGTTAAAACTAAACTGATTTTCTCTCTCTCTCGCTCTCTCTCTCTGTCTCTCTCTCTGCGTGTGTGTGTAAAAGACATAACTCACCTGGTCTGAAGGGTGATCACCTCGAGGACTTGTTGCACTTGGAGAGCTTTAAGTAATCCTCAAACGTTTTCAATTTATAACCTCAAGGTCCACCTCCACATGTCCCTGATGCCTTCTGATTACAACTCCAAGTTACACCTTCATCCATAGACCTCCCCCCCCCTTCTCCTCCTCCTCCTCCTCCTCCTCCTTCTTCTTCTCCTTCTCCTCCTTCACCACTACTCCCACCACTTCCTTCAATTACTCCACAGACACTCACACTTACACGGTCGTCCTCAAAGTTAATAATCCAAGACTCCACGACCTTCGAATCTACAAGAATTCTCCTCCTCAAGGGACTTATGAGTAATCAACACCAATCCTTAAGCTATAACTTGAACGAGCGTCACGATTTAACCTCCTGTTACCACCACCACCATCAACACCAACACAACTACCACCAATACTTCACTCTCTCTCTCTCTTATTACCTACCCCCCTAACCCCTACATACCCCCTCCTCCCTCTCCCTCTCCCCCTCCCCCTCCCCCGCCCCCTCCTCCTCCTCCTCCGCCCCCTCCTCCTCCGTTATCCCCTTATCACACGGGTTATCTGAAGTCATTGTTCTTGTGTTTATCAGAGAGTAGCCGACGCGGTGCAGCACAAGGAGCCGATTGAGAGCCTCTGTTGTGTCGGCGTGTCAGTGGAGCTTACCTCTCTCTCTCTCTCTCTCTCTCTCTCTCTCTCTCTCTATCTATCTATCTATCTATCTATCTGGTATAATCATCATGTCACGTGAGTGTTAAAGAGAGAGAGAGAGAGAGAGAGAGAGAGAGAGAGAGATGTCTTTCTCATAACAACAACCAGGCTCTTCCATTTCCTAGAGAGAAATAGACCAATAGGTGAGGTAAGGGTTGTGAGGGGGTGAGAGGGGGTGAGAGGTGGAGGGAGGGGTGAGGGGGGTGAGGGAGAGTGATGGGGTTGAGGTGAGGGGGGACAGGTGGAGGTGTGGTTGATGTCTGATTAGATGTGACACGAGTTAATGTGGCGTTCTTAAGTGTAAGGTGAGACTCTCTCTCTCTCTCTCTCTCTATCTCTCTTTCTCTAACACTCACATGGCATGATAATTATACCAGAGAGAGAGAGAAAGAGAGAGAGAGAGAGAGAGAGAGAGAGAGAGAGAGAGAGAGAGAGAGAGAGAGAGAGAGAGAACTATTACCTCATATCACCGATAGATTAAATAAACCTCTAAAATAGTTTATATTCGATTTTCTATCATCAATTATACGGACCAAATGTAATCTCAATAGTTCGTAAGATTATATAAAAAGCTGACATATTAGCGGGGTTCATATCATAGGTGAGACATATTAGCGGGGTTCATATCATAGGTAAGACATATTAGCGGGGTTCATATCATAGGTGAGACATATTAGCGGGGTTCATATCATAGGTAAGACATATTAGCGGGGTTCATATCATAGGTGAGACATATTAGCGGGGTTCATATCATAGGTGAGACATATTAACAGGGTTCATGCCATAGGTGAGACATATTAGCGGGGTTCATATCATAGGTGAGACATATTAACAGGGTTCATGCCATAGGTGAGACATATTAGCGGGGTTCATATCATAGGTGTGACATATTAGCGGGGTTCATGCCATAGGTGAGACATATTAGCGGGGTTCATATCATAGGGTAGACATATTAGCGGGGTTGATGCCATTGGTGAGACATATTAGCGGGGTTCATATCATAGGTGAGACATATTAGCGGGGTTGATGCCATAGGTGAGACATATTAGCGGGGTTGATGCCATAGGTGAGACATATTAGCGGGGTTGATGCCATAGGTGAGACATATTAGCGGGGTTCATATCATGGAGGTGTAATATAGCAGGGTTCATACCATAGGTGAGACATATTAACAGGGTTCATGTCATAGGTGAGACATATTAGCGGGGTTCATGCCATAGGTGAGACATATTAGCGGGGTTCATGCCATAGGTGAGACATATTAACAGGGTTCATGTCATAGGTGAGACATATTAGCGGGGTTCATGCCATAGGTGAGACATATTAGCGGGTTTCATATCATAGGTGAGACATATTAACAGGGTTCATGCCATAGGTGAGACATATTAGCGTGGTTCATATCATAGGTGAGACATATTAACAGGGTTCATTAGGTGAGACAGGGGGTTCATATCATATTAGTTCATATCATAGGTGAGACATATTAACAGGGTTCATGCCATAGGTGAGACATATTAGCGGGGTTCATATCATAGGTGAGACATATTAACAGGGTTCATGCCATAGGTGAGACATATTAGCGGGGTTCATATCATAGGTGTGACATATTAGCGGGGTTCATGCCATAGGTGAGACATATTAGCGGGGTTCATATCATAGGGTAGACATATTAGCGGGGTTGATGCCATTGGTGAGACATATTAGCGGGGTTCATATCATAGGTGAGACATATTAGCGGGGTTGATGCCATAGGTGAGACATATTAGCGGGGTTGATGCCATAGGTGAGACATATTAGCGGGGTTGATGCCATAGGTGAGACATATTAGCGGGGTTAGGTTGGGTTGGGTTAGGTTAGGTGCACTAAAGCGCTATACAACACTGACGTCATGATAAACAATTACCACACATTTTTTCCTCCAGGATGACGTACCTTTAATGACGTACTTGGCTCAGACCTTCCGAGGAAAAAAAATAACATTTTTACACTTGTAATAATTATTGTTCATTGTAAATAACGGGACTCTGTAAATCAGGGACTAATTATGTTTTTTTTACAAAGTTACAGTATAAATAATGATGCTGTAAATGAGTTAGTAATCACGTATTCTTTTACAAAGTAACATTTTTATCTTTTACAATTGATATATTTTAAATACCTTGTCAATGACCAGACTCTGTAATGGGGTAAGGATGTTTCTCACAAGGCTACAGTGTAAATTACCAGACTGTAAATGAAGTCTTAGGTGTTATTATAAAGTGCATCTATCCATCTATCTATCTATCTATCTATCTATCTATTATTACTTTTACTAAGAATATTCACAGAAATACTTAACATTAATACAGACAGTCTCACCTGTAAGATGCTAATTAGTAGACAGAATATCATCCAGGTATCGTCAGGTAATATTAGTGTTGGTGAGCGTGTTGTAATGTGTATTATTATTATTATTAAAGGTAGCTCTCTCTCTCTCTCTCTCTCTCAGGCCAGCAGCTATCATTCAGTATATCGCACAGGCAGCGGTCGAGTCCACCGCCTTTAAGGTTCACACACCCGCGATGCTTGGTATACTCTTAACTCTTTTATATGGCCACAAGTATACTCTGTTATGTGGTATACTCTGTGTTATATGGTATACTCTTAACTCTTTTATATGGCCACAAGTATACTCTGTTATGTGGTATACTCTGTTATATGTATCCTCTTAACTCTTTTATATATTACAAGTACCTCTGTTATGTGGTATACTCTGTGTTATGGTATACTCTTAACTCTTTTATATGCCTAAGTATACTCTGTTATGTGGTATACTCTGTGTTATATGGTATACTCTTAACTCTTTTATGTGGCAAGTATACTCTGTTATGTGGTATACTCTTGTGTTATATGGTATACTCTTAACTCTTTTATATAATACAAGTATACTCTGTTATGTGGTATACTCTGTGTTATATAGTATACTCTTAACTCTTTTATACTTATACAAAGTATACTCTGTTATGTGAGGTATACTCTGTGTTATATGGTATACTCTTAACTCTTTTATATGGCCACAAGTATACTCTGTTATGTGGTATACTCTGTGTTATATGGTATACTCTTAACTCTTTTATATAGCCACAAGTATACTCTGTTATGTAGTATACTCTGTGTTATATGGTATACTCTTAACTCTTTTATATGGCCACAAGTATACTCTGTTATGTGGTATACTCTGTGTTATATGGTATACTCTTAACTCTTTTATATGGCCACAAGTATACTCTGTTATGTGGTATACTCTGTGTTATATGGTATACTCTTAACTCTTTTATATGGCCACAAGTATACTCTGTTATGTGGTATACTCTGTGTTATATGGTATACTCTTAACTCTTTTATATGGCCACAAGTATACTCTGTTATGTGGTATACTCTGTGTTATATGGTATACTCTTAACTCTTTTATATGGCCACAAGTATACTCTGTTATGTGGTATACTCTGTGTTATATGGTATACTCTTAACTCTTTTATATGGCCACAAGTATACTCTGTTATGTGGTATACTCTGTGTTATATGGTATACTCTTAACTCTTTTATATGTATACTCTGTTATATGGTATACTCACTCTAAGTATACTCTGTTATGTGGTATACTCTGTGTTATATGGTATACTCTGTTATGTGGTATACTCTGTTTTATATATCCTCTTAACTCTTTTATATGGCCACAAGTATACTCTGTTATGTGGTATACTCTGTGTTATATGGTATACTCTTAACTCTTTTATATGGCCACAAGTATACTCTGTTATGTGGTATACTCTGTGTTATATGGTATACTCTTAACTCTTTTATATGGCCACAAGTATACTCTGTTATGTGGTATACTCTGTGTTATATGGTATACTCTTAACTCTTTTATATGGCCACAAGTATACTCTGTTATGTGGTATACTCTGTGTTATATGGTATACTCTTAACTCTTTTATATGGCCACAAGTATACTCTGTTATGTGGTATACTCTGTGTTATATGGTATACTCTTAACTCTTTTATATGGCCACAAGTATACTCTGTTATGTGGTATACTCTGTGTTATATGGTATACTCTTAACTCTTTTATATGGCCACAAGTATACTCTGTTATGTGGTATACTCTGTGTTATATGGTATACTCTCTTTTATATGGCCACAAGTATACTCTGTTATGTGGTATACTCTGTGTTATATGGTATACTCTTAACTCTTTTATATGGCCACAAGTATACTCTGTTATGTGGTATACTCTGTGTTATATGGTATACTCTTAACTCTTTTATATGGCCACAAGTATACTCTGTTATGTGGTATACTCTGTGTTATATGGTATACTCTTAACTCTTTTATATGGCCACAAGTATACTCTGTACGTTATACACTACAAGCTGTGTTTTATAGAGGGAAACATTAGAGTTAGATTCCTATAACATATATGAACTAACCGCTATATTAGTCTTTTGTAAATAGTTAGTGAAATGTTAAATATGATCTCATTTAAGTGTTAAATAATTTCAATAACATTATTAACGCAAATATAACTCAGGTATTAACATATTTAACATTTTCGCTTCATATTGTTAATGTTAACATTATGAGGAAAAATGTTTATTATCGTTCATATAAATATTTAACATTCGTCAACGAGAATATTGATTACGTTTCTGGATTTAACATATAATTACCATACTTATAGATGTTAACTAAACATTAATTAAGACGTATTCGATGTTTCAAAGAATTTTAACAATTCTTTCACGTGATGTTAAATTATATTGCAGTTTAATTAGTAAAAGATAATAATTATGCTTTTAGCATTACACTACCATATACAGTATAATGATAATAACGCTATAATTATTTGTTATGGTATTTAATATGAATTATAAGTATGTTGGTGGATATGGTAATAATAATAATAATAATAATAATAATAATAATAATAATAATAATAATAATAATAATAATAATAATAATAATAATGATAATAATAATAATAATAATAATAATAATAATAATAATAATAATAATAATAATAATGATAATAATAATAATAATAATAATAATAATAATAATAATAATAATAATAATAATTTCCCTACATAAACCTAACTCATTCGTAACACACACACACACACACACAGCTAATTACTACCTCATTATTTTCCCCTAACACAACTCATTTACTAATCACTAAAGCATAATTAATTGGTATCTTAGAAACTCAAAACACAACTAATTGTACATACTGGCTTCGGGTTTTCTACAGTACAACTTATTATATCTACAAACACAACTCACCCGACACAACTAACCTGACACAGTTAATCTGACACAACTAACCTGACACAGTTAATATGACACAACTAACCTGACACAGTTAATATGACACAACTAATCTGACACAGCTAATCTGACACAACTAACCTGACACAGTTAATCTGACACAACTAATCTGACACAGTTAATATGACACAACTAACCTGACACAGTTAATATGACACAACTAATCTGACACAGCTAATCTGACACAACTAACCTGACACAGTTAATATGACACAACTAATCTGACACAGCTAATCTGACACAACTAACCTGACACAGTTAATCTGACACAACTAACCTGACACAGTTAATATGACACAACTAACCTGACACAGTTAATCTGACACAACTAACCTGACACAGTTAATCTGACACAACTAACCTGACACAGTTAATATGACACAACTAACCTGACACAGTTAATCTGACACAACTAATCTGACACAGTTAATATGACACAACTAACCTGACACAGTTAATATGACACAACTAACCTGACACAGTTAATCTGACACAACTAATCTGACACAGCTAATCTGACACAACTAACCTGACACAGTTAATATGACACAACTAACCTGACACAGTTAATCTGACACAACTAATCTGACACAGCTAATCTGACTCATCTAATCTGACGCAGCTAATCTGACACAACTAATCTGACACAGTTAATCTGACACAGCTAATCTGACACAGCTAAGTTGACACAGCTAATCTGACACAATTAATCTGAGAGAACTATTCTGAGACAACTAATCTGACACAGCTAATCTGACACAGCTAATCTGACACAACTCATCGGCTTCCCTGTGTCACAAGAGGGTTTCCAGCACAGCTCACTCGTGGCCATATGCCAAGTGAGGAGGAGGAGGAGGAGGAGGAGGAGGAGGTGAGTGTGTGGGTGTGAAGGCGTTGACCCCCACCCCCCCTCCCCTTCTTCCCGCCTTTCCTCCTCTCTGATACTCAGCCTGGCATCAACGTAACCTCCCCCCCTCCTCCTCCTAATTATTATGTTATGACAGCCACCGCTATGGACGTCTTCCCCTTGTCAATGGTCTATACCCCCTCCCACTTCCCCTTGGTAATGGTATCACCCCTTTGGTATATAGCCTTGTATATCCCCTTAGTATGACCCCCTGGTACAGTATAAGGCACTCTAACACTAGTATGGCCCCCTGGTACAGTATAAGGCACCCTAACACTAGTATGACACTAGTATGACCCCTGGTACAGTATAAGGCACCCTAACACTAGTATGGCCCCTGGTACAGTATAAGGCACTCTAACACTAGTATGACCCCCTGGTACAGTATAAGGCACCCTAACACTAGTATGACCCTGGTACAGTATAAGGCACCCTAACACTAGTATGGCCCCCTGGTACAGTATAAGGCACCCTAACACTAGTGTGGACCCCTGAGTACAGTATAAGGCACTCTAACACTAGTATGACCCCTGGTACAGTATAAGGCACTCTAACACTAGTGTGACCCTGGTACATAAGGCACTCTAACACTAGTATGACCCCTGGTACAGTATAAGGCACTCTAACACTAGTATGACCCCTGGTACAGTATAAGGCACCCTACTACTAGTATGACCCCCTGGTACAGTATAGGCACCTGACACTAGTGTGACCCCTGGTACAGTATAAGGCACCTACTACTAGTATGGTACAGTATAAGGCACCTACTAGTATGACCCCCTGGTACAGTATAAGGCACTCTAACACTAGTATGACCCCTGGTACAGTATAAGCACTCTAACACTAGTATGACCCTGGTACAGTATAAGGCACCCTAACACTAGTATGACCCCTGGTACACCCTGACACTATGTGACCCCCTGGTACAGTATAAGGCACTCTAACACTAGTATGACCCCTGGTACAGTATAAGGCACCCTAACACTAGTATGACCCCTGGTACAGTATAAGGCACTCTAACACTAGTGTGACCCCCTGGTACAGTATAAGGCACCCTAACACTAGTATGACCCCTGGTACAGTATAAGGCACTCTAACACTAGTATGACCCCTGGTACAGTATAAGGCACCCTAACACTAGTGTGACCCCCTGGTACAGTATAAGGCACCCTAACACTAGTATGACCCCCTGGTACAGTATAAGGCACCCTAACACTAGTATGACCCCTGGTACTCACCCTGGTAAGGGTATGGTAGCTGGTGTGGTCTGACCCAGCGGCAGACGGTGGTTGAGGGAGAAGAAGGCACTCAGAAACCCCGTGGCTCTGGCAAGGGAGGCACTTTGGGGCTCCAGCCCACCCCGTGTGGCACTCCAAGTGTCCAGGAGGCGGCAATGTGGAGTCTTGGGAGCCACTGGGAAGTTTTGTGGGCCGCTGGAAGGCCTTGGCGCACAGTGGGTGGTGACAGGTGACGGTAGACACGTGGGTGACGGCGGCGGCTCACAACTGTTCTGACTTCACACACAAAAATGGAAGTCGTTTGAGAGAGTTTGACACACGCTGAGGTGTGAGCACTAGTCAGTGTCCGCGTCCCTCACTACCAAGTGAGGTCAGTCACTGTTGGTTGAAGCCGAGTTCAGCAGCTTTCAACAGCTCCTGAAGCCGCCCCACCACTGACTGTCCCTGGCACTGGGTTGTAGGGCGCCTATATGTGTTCCCGCCGCACAACTTCGTCACTACTACACATGTCAGAACTCTTGTCCCGCTCTCTCTCTCTCTCTCCCTCTCTCTCTCTCTCCCCAACTCTCCCACTCGGTCAGTGCTTACGTCAGTATGATGCGCACGAGGTGAGAGTGAGAGCGGGATGATGTAGGCGAGAGAGAGAGAGAGAGAGAGGTGCGGGGAGGCAGGGGTGGAGGGAGGGGTGGAGGGGGAGGGAGGGGAGAGCAGGTGAGGGAGAGCCGTGGAGGCTGGGTGGAAGAGTCGTCGACAGCGTTTAGTAGGTTAGGAGCGTCGTCACTGATGACTTGTCCCGCTCTAGTGTTGCCGGAACTACCGTGCAGCGCCCCAGCAGGAACCTCTTCTTCCTCCTCCTAGCTCTCTCACTACTGTTGCTGCTTCGTGTTGTGGTTGTCTCTCTGTGGCAGCTGTCTGTCTGTTGAGGACGAGCACCACCAACAGTGACCATAAGATACCTTTAACAGTACTTTCTTGTGGAGAATTAATCAAACACTTCTTAAGTTCCAAATTCTTATCACTGTCCCTGTTATTTCTTGGGGAGTGTGCTTTTTTTCCCCAATGTCTGTGTGTTTTGTTGAGGTAATCACATAGATAATAATAAAAGTTTACCTGGGTTGTACCTGTGAGACGGGCGGCAGCAGCTTGTAGCTAACATCACCTGTGAGTGAGGCTGATGTGAGTGCTTGTTGCTTGCTACTTGTTACTACTACTGGCGGTAACACGACACAAGTAGCACCTTCACGTTCCTTTAGGTCATAACTCACACATCTATACACACACAGAAACGAATATCCAGGTTAATTTGGTGGTGTTTCACGAATGTTTACTAACGCACGGAAGCGTACAGTATGTTTAGCGTCACTACGGGGGAGGTGATGAGGGCGGTGAGGGGTATAAGGCGGTGGGGTTAATCACAACGGTAGCAGCTTCTGTTAACGGCTTTGGCTTGTATGCTGTTTTCTTGTTTTTTTTTATAATACCGTTAATACCGAAGCTATTTTATTTTCACTCTTGTTGTTAATCTATTTCTCGTAACAGTTTGAGATTTCTTGTTTTTTTTTTCACTATCTCTTTATCTCTCTCTTGGGGACTGAGAACAGTTTTACACTATCTCTCCTCCCGTTGTTTCTGTCTCACCGTCTAGGAAAGTACAGAAAACATCTTGGTTCACATCTCTTGAAACTTGAAGAACTTTTGTTTTATCTCGTTGTATCTCTCTCTTCTCTCGTTGACGGAGGAGGAGGAGATATATCGCGTTTAAATCTATCTCTCTCTCTCTTGGATGAAACACTAGTATTATCTCTCTCTTATCTCTCCTCTCTCGTCTCAGCTGGTCGAAGTATATGGTGTGGGTGGGAGTGAGGAGAGACCAAAGGAACGTTGCGACTGCGCTTTGCCACCTACTGTACTCCTCGTGGGACACTGAGACGAGAAGCTTGAGAGAATCACTCAAGCCAGGAGTGAACGTTGGCTACTCACCCCCTCCCCCCTCTCCCCCACCCCTCCATCCCTACCCTTCTCCTACCCTCCAACCCCTCCCTCCCTCCCACCTCCATCGACACACCAACCAACCACAGCACAGCGCCTCCAACCCCTCCCCACCTCTCCCCTCCTATCAACCACATTCAGCTCCTCCCCCTCATCCACCACCAACACTACTCCCTGTAAATATATCCATCTCTTACCACTATCCACATGCGGGTAGACAAACACCATCCACTCCTATCCATGCCTAAGGTACTGTGGATGCCCCTAGTTAAGATTCCTCTATCCACAAGAGTCTAGCCTTACGTGGAGAGGAAAAGAAGATCCGTTTTGGTAGAAAGTGGGCACCATGCAGGAGGTCCCGCCCACAACAACCCTCCAGGCCCCACCCCTTGTAATCCCCCCCAACCCACCCCCTACCCACCCACCCAATACCCCGACTCAACCATACCCTCCTCTCTCTCTCTCTCTTGCTATAGGTTGTGACTAAATTCTTTATCGTCAATGCAATAAGAGTTTCTAGTGGCGGCCAAGAATCGTTTTTTTTTCAGGACCTCGTGAGAACCAACCCATTGATGATGATTTGTTTTAATAATATTTCATAATTTCGTTGTATTTCAGTGTGTGTGTGTGTGTGTGTGTGTGTGTGTGTGTGTGTGTGTGTTTATCTGTTACTCTGTATTTTGACGTATGTTGAAATTAAAAGAGTTAATATAATAATACCGATAATAATAATAATAATAATAATAATAATAATAATAATAATAATAATAATAATAATAATGGTACAACTATTATTATTATTACACCACACTCATTCACCTAAACTTGTGTATGATGGAATATACTAACGATGTATGATACAGTCTAATAGAAGTGTATGATAAGCATAATTATGAAGGTGTAATAGATATTTTACCTTATGATACAATTAACTCTCTCTCTCTCTCTCTCTCTCTCTCTCTCTTACCCCTCCTTTCACTACAGCACTTACACTTAAATCCCAGTCCTTTCTAAGTCACGCAACCGCCTTAAGTAACCATTGTAAGTACCCCGTTGGAGTGTCCGATATGAAGCGATTATCTACTTACAATGGTAGATCACTTAACACTTTCATTTAATTATTTCTATATTGGAGGAAATTTACATAACTTAAATATTCGGATAAGTAATGTGTGGAATGGTGTAGACAGGTGTGGAATGGTGTAAACGGGTGTGGAATGGTGTAGACGGGTGTGGAATGGTGTAGACGGGTGTGGAATGGTGTAGACGGGTGTGGAATGGTGTTAACAGGTGTGGCGTGGTGTAGACAGGTGTGAGATGGTATAGACAGGTGTGGAATGGTGTAGACAGGTGTGAGATGGTATAGACAGGTGTGGAATGGTGTTAACAGGTGTGGAGAACAGGTGTGAGATGGTATAGACAGGTGTGGAATGGTGTAGACGGGTGTGGAATGGTGTGTAGACGGGTGTGGAATGGTGTAGACGGGTGTGGAATGGTGTTAACAGGTGTGGAATGGTGTTAACATGTGTGGAATGGGTGTTAACAGGTGTGGAATGGTATAGACAGGTGTAGAATGGTGTTAACAGGTGTGTAATGGTGTAGACAGGTGTGAAATGGTGTTAACAGGTGTGAGATGGTGTGAACAGGTGTGAGATGGTATAGACAGGTGTGGAATGGTGTAGACAGGGTGTGGAATGGTGTACACGGGTGTGGAATGGTGTTAAGGTGTGGAATGGTGTTAACAGGTGTGGAATGGTGTAGACAGGTGTAGAATGGTGTTAACAGGTGTGTAATGGTGTAGACAGGTGTGGAATGGTGTTAACAGGTGTGGAATGGTGTAGACAGGTGTGGAATGGTGTTAACAGGTGTGAGATGGTGTAGACAGGTGTGAGATGGTATAGACAGGTGTAGAATGGTGTAAACGGGTGTGGAATGGTGTAGACGGGTGTGGAATGGTGTTAACAGGTGTGGAATGGTGTAGACAGGTGTGGAATGGTGTTAACAGGTGTGAAATGGTGTTAACATGTGTGGAATGGTGTTAACAGGTGTGGAATGGTGTAGACAGGTGTAGAATGGTGTTAACAGGTGTGGAATGGTGTAGACAGGTGTGGAATGGTGTTAACAGGTGTGGAATGTGTAGACAGGTGTGGAATGGTGTTAACAGGTGTGGAATGGTGGTAACAGGTGTGGAATGGTGTAGACAGTGTGGAATGGTGTTAACAGGTGTGGAATAGTGTTAACAGGTGTGGAATGGTATAGGCAGGGTGTGACATGGTATAGACAGGTGTGGAATGGTGTTAACAGGTGTGGAATTATATAGACAAGTGTGGAATAGTGTAGACAGGTGTTAACAGGTGTGGAGTGGTATAAACAGGTGTAGAATGGTGTTAACAGGTGTGTAATGGTATAGGTAGGTGTGGGATGGTGTAGACAGGTGTGGGATGGTAAAGACAGGTGTCGAATGATATAGAGACAGGTGTGGAATGGTGTAGACAGTGTGGAATGGTGTTAACAGGTGTGGAATAGTATAGGCAGGTGTGGCATGGTATAGGCAGGTGTGGAATGGTGTTAACAGGTGTGGAATTGTATAGACAGGTGTGGAATAGTATAGACAGGTGTGGAATGGTGTTAACAAGTGTGGAATGATGTAGACAGGCGTGGAATAGTGTTAAAAGGTGTGGAATGGTGTTAACAGGTGTGGCATGGTGTTAACAGGTGTGGAATGATGTATACAGGTGTGGAATGGTCTTAACAAGTGTGGAATGGTGTAGACAGATGTGGAATGGTGTTGACAGGTGTGGAATGATGTATACAGGTGTGGATTGGTGTAGACAGACGTGGAATGGTGTTAACAGGTTTGGAATGTATTAACAGGTGTGGAATGGTGTAGACATGTGTGGAATGGTCTTAACAAGTGTGGAATGGTGTAGACAGATGTGGAATGGTGTTGACAGGTGTGGAATGGTGTAGATAGGTATGGAATGGTGTTAACAGGTGTGAAATGGTATCGACAGGTGTGGGATGGTATAGACAGGTGTGGAATGTTAACAGGTGTGGAATGATGTAGACAGGTGTGGAATGATGTAGATAGGTGTGGAATGGTGTAGACAGGTGTGGAATGGTGTAGACAGGTGTGGGAATGTGGCAGGTGTGAGCAGATGTGCAGGTAGGTTTGTGTAGACAGGTAAGACAGACAGACAAAATGCACACACACACACACACACACACACACACACACACACACACACACACACACACACACACACACACACACACACACACACACACACACACACACACACACATACACAGTTCAAGTGACCACCCACAGCGAGTTCTCTTTATGGTTATAATAAGTAATTATTAAATTGTTAAACCATTCAGTACATTATTAACGTCAACCTTAACTCCGTTTTCTGTTAATATTTCGACCGCACTTCGTTATATTTGTTTTATTATACCAAAGTCCACTTACTGTAGTTACTGTGATTGTGATAAGTTACACACACACACACACACACACACACACACACACACACACACACACACACACACACACACATACACACACACACACACACACACACACACACACACACACACACACACACACACACACACACACACACACACACACACACACACACACACACACACACACCGACTAACGACAGTACCAGCACAAGCAATTATCACTGCTTGGCTTTTTCTCTTCTACACTCATGCGTATATTCATGTTCTTCCAGACTCTGCACCTTCTCTCGCCTTCTGCCCGCACTGGCGTTGATGGAAAGGAAGGAAGGAAAGGAGGAAGGGTGAGTGTTGTATTACATTTTGTTTGTTATTGAAAACTTTATCATATCTTTCCCATCACCTTCCCGTCTTTCCCCATTCCCTCCTTGCTTTCTCTTATTCCCTCAATTCCTTTCCCTTTTCACACATCCTCTCTCTCCCATCACCTTTCTTCCCTTCTCCTTTCAGTCTCCTTTCCATAATCCTTCCCCCCTTCCTCTTCCTCCCTCCCCCCTCTTTCCCATCACCGTTTCTTATC